CAATGGTGCAAGCGGATGTTCCCTCTTCCTCAAGGCATCCTCCAACAGGCCTAGTGGACGAGATTATTCAGCAGATGGAGTCGATGAGGAGAAGACCTCAAGTGCCAACCAGGGAACCAGTAATGATGGAGAATATCCATCAATACATGTACCATGATCGAGAAGAAAGCCTGTCAACCAATCCGCCTATCCTATCGCCAGAGTTGATGAGTCTTCTGCATCATCGTTTTGTAAGACAGACAACTCAAGATCCTCGAGCTGTCTTTTCAAATGATGGTATAAGAAGAGTCATTGATTTGAAAATCAAGTCATTTGCCAACAGAGCAATACGCTACATCGAGTTCAGAATGGAAAGAGCCCATGGGGAAGTTAGCGTCTTCAACGAGAACGACCTCATCAATCTCAATCCATATGACTTGATAGAGTTATATGCCTACACTGCTCAACGGCAAGATCACGGGATAAGATTCGGGATGGCGAACAGAGCTATTGTCAAGACAATGGAGTCCCTGGTGAACCACAGAGCCAAAAGAGATTTTGAGATTGCTTTTAGGCTGGGCATTGAGAGGCTATCCTGCGCTCCACCAAAAGAAGAATTCCAGGGCCTGCAGGAGATACGCTCTGCCTCTGTCTTGTCTCAACCCGAACTCGGACTTGTTTACAAGAATGAGYTTGGGGTGAAAAAGTTCTTTAGAATGTCTGAAGCCTTCAAGTACTCAACCAAATCACTTGAATGGTTTCAGAAAAATATTAGAGACAGACTGGGCAGAAGCCACGTGCCGAGGSAAGTGGGAAACCATMTCATTCAAGAGATCTCAACTGTCATAAACTACAGAAGATTACTCCTACGTTTTAGAGAGATATACTCGGGTAATCCTTGATGAGATGGATTTTTTGTTTATTTTTGCCTTGATGTATATTTGCTTCCAGTCTTGTACAGAATTCATCATCCACTGAAATTTTGGAATTTGATGTTTCTTCTAGATTAGTGTATGTTCTTCATATGTGATTAGATTAGATTTTGTTATTTCATTACTTAGGGGGAGATTGTTAGATTTCATAATGCAAAATGTAAAAAGTAATGAAAAACAATAAGTGATGAAGAACCAGAAGACCGATGAAGACATCAAGGCAGAAAAGACTAAGTCTGGATCGATGGAAAGACTAACTAGAGCATCGATGGAAACACCAACCATCGGACCGATGGACCAAGTGCAACCAACGGATCGATGGATGATGCGATGGAAAGTGTATTCATCGATACGATGGACAGACTAACACTTTGAAGATTTTCTAAGTATTCATCCAAGCATGCATTKAAGACTTGAAGATAAGGATGAAAGCGCCACGTCAATAATGACAGYTGGWGATGACGAATCAACAGCTGGAATTATAGTTTATCTTGTAAATAGTGATTATCCATGTGAAAGATAAACATTATTCATTAGCTAGAATATTTGCTAGAAAGTAGCAATAGTTAATTATCTTAGCATTAGCTAATTAGTATAAATAGACGACTAGGTCTATTGTAAAAAGCGTGCATACGTGAGAGGTTTTTACTTTGTGTTTTACGTTTTATTRTTWATWAAGTAAAACCTTTGAAGCTCAAACTGTTCTTGAATATTCATATTTTACTTTTAAGTCTTCTTAACTTTCTTCGTAAAATCACTATAATTTGGTTATTCATAACTAGATTATAAGTGTTATTGAGAGATCTGGGATCAACAATTCTCCATTGAGGTCCAAGCAAGCCAAAAAGGGGATACCCACATCTCTGGCTGTTACCTTTCAACAAGTTTCAGACATTGAAACAAGCCTTATCCCCGAGGAAACTTTAGTTATAACCCCTCCTAGCTCTTAAGTGATTTCTTCAGTCACTGTCGTACACGTGGCTCCTCTCCCAACCGCCTTAGTGACCCAAATCACTGAAGATATGAATATCATCATAGCCATTGCTGAATACCCACTTCCACCACTCTCATCCATCTTATCTTTT